ACCCGGGGCCTCGGGGACGCGCCACGTCCCGGGACCTGCGCCCAGCCGTGCGCGGGCCCGAAACCTCAGCTACGGGGACGCAATTAAAGCTAATTAAAAAGGCACTGGTTCCTGGAAAGCAACTTCAGAACATATCTTGTACTTCTCCGCTTAAAAAATAAAATGTTAACATAAAACTATTTCCAAGCATTTTTTAAAAAGCAGGGGTGGGGTGAGGGGGGCAAAAATGCTAATTAGTTTAATGTTTTAATGCAATGACTTTAAATATTCAAGTTTTCTCCTTTGTGTCTGTGTTTGTTTTCTGTCTGACTTTGACTTCCCTCCAGTCCTTCCAGCCATGGAGACTGAATTCATATGAATGAGGGAGGTGAAGTGAGTAATTGGAGGTACTGAGTCATGATTAATAACTCAACATGAGCGATCAAACAGGATCAGACACGCGGTTGTGTGATGTCAGAAACTTCAGCTACAACGGTGCCTACACAGATTTGTTTGTAATGTGTTGCTATTTAGGAAATGTAATACAGCTTCAATTGCAGCAAGAATAAGTGCAAATCTTGGGGAAATTTAAAAATTATATAATTAGGGACCCTTTTAATGGTGGGTAAGAGCTGATTCGAAAATTAAATCATTTAAAATGAGAGCTTGACAGCTTTAAAATAAAAATTTAAATTTAAAATCTTATCATCATTGTTATAAAAAGAAATTGGTGGCAAATTAATGTATAGCATTAATTAATTATAATCCTGTATGCAGTCAGAATGAGCACGATTCACAAATAAGTTTTGAACACCTCAAAATAAATAGAAATTTCAGAAAAATGTTTTGAGTATTTTATGATTGAAAATTGGCTCTGCCCGGCCGGGCGTGGCTCAGCGGTTGAGCGTCGACCTGGGATCCAGGCGATCGGGGTTCGATTCCCGGTCAGGGCACATGCCCGGGTTGTGGGCTCGATCAATGACTCTCTCATCATTGATGTTTCTATCTCTCTCTCTTTCTCCCTCTCCTTTCCTCTCTCTGAAATCAATAAAGATATATTAAAAAAGAAAAAAAGAAAGAAAATTGGCTCTTTTGTACTAAAAAAAAATCAGATTTAATGGTTAATTTAAAAAAAAAAAATAGAATCAGAGTAAGTAGTTTTATAACAAAGTTACAGATACTCACTGGTAATAAAATATTTTTCAGGGAAAACAAAGTGCATGGTCATCTAAATGTGCTTTTTTCCTGACTGCATTATTCAAGTTAGTATGAAATTGACAGTCGCAGTTGCACACCTGTCACTAACATCACTGCCAACATGCCAAGTATGTGAATCCGCCTTATTGCACTTGTTTAAAATCTATAAATGTGAAGATGCCCACAGATGCTTCAAGTATATGGAATGATTGACAGCACTTGCCAATGAGGCTACAAATGGTCATGCTAAAAATATGCTTTGAAAGGAGTGACAACAGGTTAGAAGACTTAATCTACTGCTTTGAATAACCGAGTGCACTACGGTCATGTCTCCCTCAGGCATCCCCTCAGCCTTCAGCTCCTAAGTGACATTCCAAAATGTGTGGAAAAAGGAAAGAAAATAACAGGAGTCATAAAACCTAACTGCCGTCTCAGCCTCATTCTTTCCCTAATCACTCCGCCGGGTAAAACGAGGCACTGGGAAGAGCCTTGACTTTAGACCCATTTTCTGCTGGGGGACATTTAAACGCTTCCACGTGGCCCTGGAGACTTGGCCGGCTGTCCAGAGGTGGGTGAAACGCGCCGCAGTCTAGTGAAGACTTGCAAAACCGGCAGGATCATGTAGCTGCCGGCTCCCACATGTCCCTGTCCGTCAACCACTTCTGCAGGCGTCATCAAGCTGCACAACCGTTTGCTTCAAACGAGGACCTGCCTCTAAGATCAGCCGTGCAGCCCGCGCTTCACAGCGCCTCTGAGCAGCGGACTCGGGGTCCCTGACATTTAAACTCGAGAGCCCACACTGCTTCCGTGCTCTCATGTGCTGCGTTAACGTGAAATACGGCAACATGCTGAGACAAGTCCAAAAGCAACGGTAACAATGTCACTGTCTTTCACAGCGACTGTGCCTCTGGGGGTAGGAGAAAGTGCATTAAAAACACTTGACTCTGCTACAGAGTTCAAACTTACTGTTCCCAATTCAGAAACTGGTAGCGTCCCCAATTCCACTTTGTTATTTTGTGCATTAATAATTTTTTAAAAGCTAATGAGAGACATAAGAAAAAAATCTTTAAAAGAAAAAAACCACCCGTGCAGCCCAAGCAGCAGCAGAATGCCCAGGCCCCCAGCCCCTCAGCCGGCCCCCGGCGGGACTCACGTGCGTGGCGCGCTCTGTGCTTGTGAGGTCTGCTGTGATCTCTTTCCGAGCTCGGATCTTCCCCCTGCTCGGTGCCTTCTGATGAGACGGCAAAGGCTACCAGAGAAGGAGGTGCTTCTGACTGCCCTCCTTCCAGCCGGGAATCCACACCCCCCGCCCGCGGCCTGCACCCTCCCGCCTGCTGCCTGTCAGAGCAGTCCAGGACCACTTCCACTCGGGGCAGCCCCGCCGGCCCGGCGGCCGGCCCCTGGATCACTCTCAGCTCTTGGCCACTGCAGATCTGGATGATCTTGCTGGACTGCAGAGAAGGGTCCCCTTTCTCACTAGTGGGGACTGAATTTATGTGGACGGTCCCGCCGTGGTGTGAGTTAGGATCTGGGTCAGGACACTTAGATTTTTCAGTCCCCAAGAGAGCCACTGTGGGGGAACCAGTGCCCGTGTGCATGTCCTGTGACAGGGACAGTTGTAGCTCAACCACAGGGCCCGGCCAGCCCGAGTCTGCCTTCTCCCGTAAGACAACCTCCTCTGCTGAGTGTCCTCTTGTGGGGTCAGGCATGTGGGGAGCCTCAGGGTAGCTCAGGCCCGTTTCTTCTTTTTTGTTCCCAGAAAAATCGGGACCACTCCCTTGGTCCTCAGCGAGGGGGGCTCCACTCGTGATGAGGGTGAGGCGGGGCTCCCCTTCCTGGCTCTGTGCAGCCGGTCGGATCTGCAGGGTGGTGCTTTCCACATACCCCTCGGGGGGGAGATGCTCATGGGTTTTGTTTTCGGTTTCAGAGACCAAAGTCTCACTTACTCCACTGGAAGGTCTGCACACAGAAAAATCATTGCAGACAGTTAGATCAGCGCGCCCCACCTGCCAAAGAGCTTCCCGACCCTTCTCGATGCCTCAGACACAGCAAGTCAGTGTCTCCTAAACGCCAGCTGCAGCACTTTCGGAAATGGAAACCGGCAACGTATTTCTATGATTTTTAAAGATCTTCCAAATAATTTTTTCCTTAAAGTGAAGCAAAAAGGCCCACAAGAGATCACAAAACCTAAATCCATCCTAAATTCAGCTTTTAATTTTTAAAAGGATGGGTTATAGATACATGGATACTCTTTAGCTGTAGGTATTTGGTTGTTTTGTGTTTTTTAAAACTATGTTTGTTCTGATCTGAGAAAGCATTTCAGTCTTATTGACTAAGTTGAGGTCTGGACGGTATAAAGTCACATAAGCACACCCAGCAGGTCAGAGCAATATTATTGCACAGGTGAGTCACACGACCCTTTCAGGGGCTACGCTTTCTTGGAAGGATGAAGCTCCAGCTGGGCCGAGGTGTGCCTGTTTTGTAATCGGTGGACCCGCCCAGCACTCTGGTGTCGAGAGAAAGCCTCTCCCTGCTGCAATGGGTCACTGAGTCATGGAGTATTTATACTCCGAGGAGCCTCCCTTCTTCCTAGTGAACCTGTCACTCGGGGCCATTTCCTTACAGGACCTCTGAAGTCAGGCTGCTCCTCTGTCTCTCAGCTGAGGAGCCCCGTTCTCCTCACCGTGATCCTTTGGTTTCGACCTTAACATTCCCAGTTAAGGTTTTGCAAATTTGGGTTTGCAAGAAACAATGTCAATTTAAGGGTTAAGCAACTTCTTGCTAAAACCCTAATTGAAACCCTACCTGTTTTGAGAAGGGTCATTCACAGAACAGTTGGAGGAGATCCCTTCATTTCTCACGTTTGAGAGGTGGTGTTTTTTTGTTTTTTTAAGCAGCAGCAGTGTCCTCTGCCTCCCTCCTCCGCCCTCGAAAGGCACCCGCTGTGGAGGGCGGGGTCCTCAGCTGGAGGAAGCGAGCCCTACTTCTGTCTACTGAAGGGAGCTGGCCTGAGAATTTACGTGGTCGTGCAGTTTCAGCCTAATACAGCAGCTACTCCTAACTTCGCTTTTGACTGCATTTAGCAAAACTAGACTAGACTAAACAAAAACAAGCAAATGACACGCAGCTTTCTCTAAGCATGTGACCTGTGACACTTCCTGGTAATCCACAAAAAATTTATAATACAGTATTTTTAAAACATAGTGACAGCTAACGAGCTCTTTCTCATGTGGGAGACGATGAATACGCCCTGTGCAACTGGACGTGAGGGTACCGGGAGGTCAGAGCGCTTTGATGGAGGAAGGCTTGGAGGGAACTGGATTAGGTCACTTTGAATTATGCTGGCAATGACTCAGGAAGCGGAGACGAGAGTCTGGATTCATCCCAGCCCTGGAGGCTGTAATGCAGGCAAATCAGTCAGATCAATGTTAGCACTTACTGATGGCCGAAATAAAGTGGATATACACAAATAAAACCATGAAAGCACTACAAGTTAAAGCTTTATACCTTAAATTGCTCATTTCCATTCAGTTTACATAGGTACTCAGTTCCACAACTTGTGTGTCATTGTCATAGGCAGGGACGCAAAATTTGACACCCCAAAATGTGTCTCTGCCAGGAGGATGACTCTATTTTTAAGAAACAAAAGACTCAGGAAGAACCTTTGACCTGCCCCCTAACTGCCCAAGAGAAATGAGGCAGAACAGAGCTCTCACCAGAGGTATCTACAGAGAACATGGGCCAGGTGTGGTGGGGAGGCTGGAGCCCGGAGCTCAGACCCCTCTCTGTGTCCCATGGTCTCTTTGTGGCCCAGCAAACATTTGTTTACCAAACAGTTGCTCCTTCCTCCCCTTTGAAATGCCAAACCACTGCCCATCTCCTTAGCTCAAGGTGGTGTCCAAGCCCAGCTTCCCTCAGGCCCCCTGGTCTTAATGAGCCCCCTGTACAAACAAACATAATTAAATTTGGTTATTTTCTCCTGCTGATGTCTCATGTCAATTTAATTCTTAGACCACTCAGAAGAGCCTAGAAGTATAGAGTAAAATTTCCTTTTCCCCAATTCCTTCTCCCATAATTATAAATTTTTTTAAAAATCTTATTTTAATAAAATTTAAGATAATAGAGGCTTAATGATAAAGAAGCATTTTAAGATAGCTGACCCAGCTCTCTCTGGGCAATTGTCCAGGAAAAGGGCATTTGCCCTCTAGTGATAGAGGACAGTTATGTGAGTGGGAGAAATATTTAATTCCAGGAAACAGCATTCAGATACCAGAGTGGTGACGGTGATGATGATGGTGATGGGTGATGGTGGTGGTGGTGGTGGTGGTGGTGGTGGTGATGGTGGTAGTGGTGATGGTGGTGGTGGTGGTGGTGGTGGTGGTGATGGTGGTGGTGGTGGTGATGGTGATGGTGATGGCGATGGCGGTGATGGTGGTGATGGTAATGGTGGTAATGATGGTGATGGTGATGACGGTGATGGTGATGGTGGTGGTGGTGGTGATAATAGTGATGATGGCGATATGATGACTGCCTTCTTGTGGATATTAATTTGAGATTCTATTTTCAATACCATCAATTATTTATTTGGTAAAGTCAAAGTACTTAAGAGAAAATGATAGTCATGATTCCATTTACTGAAAGTAGCAGAGAACTAGTCCAGTTATTTCTGACAGTAAATATGCACCTAAGTGTCAGCTCTAAAGCACCACAGGTTTCCCCAGTGAGAGAGATCACAGAAAACAGGACCTAGTAGGGAGTGTTCCAGACCACACCGTGTTCCAGAGAAACTGGCCTCATTACATCATGGAGGCACTAAAAAGGGAACAAAGTAGAGAAGGTGTTTCCCTATTTGGGATGAGATTAAACCTTTGCAAAGATGGAAGTGTTTGAAGAGCTCGGGTTAGTGCAGGATGAGGGTGCACACTGTGACTACACACACAACCTTCCCGTTAGGTTCCTTTCAAAGCACGTGGCAGCTTTATAAATAAGTAGGAGCCTAAGGGCTTGCATACTGGGCCCGATGGGTAAATAGTTAGATGGGAGATGCTAAGAATAATGCGAGCTTTCTTTTATTTTCACCAGCTTTTGTCCAGAGTGAGTCCACGTTTGTATAGAAATGGGATCATATTGCATGATTATCAGGGGTAATACTGTATGTCAGGTCTCTGCAGAGAGGTCCTCTGACACCCCCACGAAGGCTGCCCTCCAGGAGGCCAGCGCTCCCCTTCTAGAGCTGCTACAACGTGATGGTCAGGGTCTCACTGCGACGCTGGTGTGGCCTCGACTGTGGTTTATACACAACAAAAATGTGGATGCTACAATGTGTGTGTGTGTGTGTGTGTGTGTGTGTGTGTGAGAGAGTGTGAGTGCTCTCATGGTTTTTTTTTGTTTTATGTTTTAACTTTTGTGTTTTTAAGCAGTTAGTGGGGAGGGTAGATTTGGGGAGAGCACATGAACAAGTGATTTCCACTGATAGCCCAAAAACTTTATTCTAACCACCCACACACTGGCTTCACGGGAGAGCCTGGCGAGCAGGAATCCGGCTGCTTTTGGGTTTCCTGCTCTGCTCCTTCGCCTGGGCATCTTCTTTAAGAAAATTAGTGTACAGTGTAATGGTTTGATACTTAAATGTGTTTAATTCATCTGGGAGCCTGGGAATTATAAATTAGTGGCCCTGGCCTGCAAGGATCAAACTATGTTCAACATACTGAGCTGTCTAGGGAACTAGTTTTAATTAACTGAGATTTTCAACAAAGCTCTTGTAAATTTTCAAGTTAATTTTCAATGAACCAGAACATTCAGTGGATTAGAGTCGCCCTTTTCAGACTCCGTGGCCCCTGCCTAAGTAGCTGCCCTTCATAGCGCGCCCCGGCTCCCCCTTAACGATGTTACGTGCGCGCCGGGAGCAGCGATCGCTCCCGCCGCTGCGGGAGGCGGGGGCCCCAGCCGCGCCTGTACCGTTTGACGAGCATGTGCAGGGCGTCCGCGATGCTCCCCATGAGCGTGATGACCTCGGGGTAGGTGAGGTCGGCACATGGGTTGCCGTTGATGGAGACGACTTCATCCCCCTCGCGGAGCCCGGACCCCGACGCTTTGCTCTGGCTTCGGATCTGAGGGAGCAAAAGAGGGGGCAGCGGTTAGAATCGCACAACCTGTAAACACCGTGTCGCCGTCTCTAAGAAACCAGGTAAGTGGATCTGCAGGTTGCAAAATCTGCAACCCAGGTACATGCCCTTGACCAGGAATTGAACCCGCGACCCTCTGGTGTGCAGGCCGACACTCTAACCACTGAGCCACGCCAGCCAGGGACAAATGAATTTTAAAACCCTGTCACATTGCAAAGACCGATGGGGATGGGCACTTACTGTCGGAAGGAGAGGGGGGTGGCAGTCCATGTAAGGAGAGTCATACAGGTAAAGGAGCTCAAGACAACCAGCATAGCAGGGAAATGGGACAGCCAGGGTGTTAAGAATTATGTCAAGGGAAGAAATCCTTTAGAAACCAACTATTCAAGACTTAGTAACCAGGTAAACTTTGGCAAAGAAAAATGAAAGAAAAAGATTGTGCAAAAAAGAAACACAGCCGTGCTCTAAGGATGCCTCATATTCTAGCACAGAATGATGTGGAAGAGAATGGGGTAAAGACCTAGAGGAGGGAGCCTCCAGACCCAGGAGCAAGGAACCGTGAGACCCGGGAGCAGGGAACCGTGAGACCGGGAGGAGGGAACCGTGAGACCGGCAGCAGGGAACTGTGAGACCCGGGAGGAGAGATGTAGGGCAGAACAATAGCAGAGGCTCCCACTAACTCTCAATGGGGAGAGACTGGAGGTGAGATCCGTGTCATTATGATAACGTGAGGGTTGGGCTGGTCATTGTCCCTCCGCCCTTCCAGGTCCGTTCCCTCCCCTCCCGGGCGCTGCTTTGCGGCCAGCCTCCCTCACGCTGCCTCCTGGCTGGGCTTGGTCAACAGGAATCCAGCAAGAGATCAGAGGACTAGGGGAAGGCGAGGTCAGGCAGGTGTGCTCCCTGGGGGCCTGCTGGGCCTCGGCTCTGACCTGTCTAGACAGTCACAGCGCCTGTCGGTTTGTCCCCACCACACCTTAGCTCTTGTCATGTGCCAGCACCACATGCCATCTCCCCGCATGTTCAGGCCTCAGGGGAACAATAGCTTCTGCTCTAATCTCAGGTGAGCCATTCGCATAGGCTCTCTGAGCTGCCTTCAGTCCCTGCATTACAGTAGCTTTGAACGTGACACCTGTCTCCTGCTGGGCCCCTGGGTGACGTCAAGGTGTTTAGATTTCATTTTGTAGTGTGAGTTTAATAGCTCTCAATGAGCCATGTGTCCTGATCATACAGTCTCAAATCCAAGAACATTTTAAGGTACTATTCTAGATATTTTCTACCAAGTGACTGCTCTCTGACAATTAAAATCAAGATCTGAGTCCAGAGAGGCCCGAACCAGGTACATGGCACTTCCCAAAGAACGTTTGCACAGCCAGGCTCATCTCTGATGGGGCACGAAACGGATTCCAATGCACCTCCAACAGCCCCCTGCTAACTCTTGCTACGGTCTTTTAGACAATGTGTTCACTGACAAAGATTTAACGTTTATATCTCCACAGGCATTTACATTTTAAATGATACTCTTGAAAGCAAAAGAATGCCTTTAGGTGCCAAAGCAGTAACACTAGTAAAATTTGAAGTGATTCAGTTAGTTTTGTTCTGGAAGGTTCCATCCTTTAATTGTCATAATTATAATCTGCAGAAGGTCTTCCCCCTTCTGACAAATCAATCTCATTCCTTTTATTTTGGAAGAGCATACTAATTTATCGCAAAAATTAAATCAACTCAGTATTTCCAAGGCTATAACAAAGTAACAAAAGCAATGAGAAAGAGAGTATTAACCCAATTTTGAAAAACATCTATTTAACTGCCAAATATATTTGTTTCCTTTTGTCTTGCATGAATTACTAAAATGAAGACTCACAAGACAGTTGTCAATAAGCCAAGGATAAAACAATGTCCAACAATGAACATTCAAGGTTAGGGTTAGAGGTTTTTGTTTACATTTCCTTCATTTATATGTGTTTAATTTTTTACAAAATAAGATTAGGTGGATAATAAAGCATATTTTTGAAGCATAAACCCATTCATCCATAAAGTCAGATGTATTGGAATAGAGACAAGAAATTCACCCTTTAGAGAATCAGGGAGGTTTTATTTACGTAGATGAGACAATGTGACCCTATACCTGGTACCCACAAGGCCCAGCCTCGGGGGGTGGTTCCCTCTACCAGCAATAAGTTGTGTGAGTTTGGAGGAGCTTCAGGGGTCTACAGAGTAAGATGAGGGTGTGGCCCCTGGAAGATCAGTGGACCCCCAGAGTAACAGCTGTCTGTCACCCCAGCATGTGCTGTGGATGGGGAGAGGCAGTGTGTTCTTCTGCCCGGCAAGGGGAGCCTGTAACGGTGTCCAGTTAGCAAAGCGTCAGCATTCCTGGCGCGCGTGCACCCCAAGGTCAACGTACAGAACCAAGCGCCCCGGCTGTTTCGCTGACCATTACACTGTCTGAGCAGCAGGAAGTGTTTTTCCCTCAAGAGCCATGTAAATATGGTGACACTGTCCTTGCCACAAAGGTGTTTCTGAAGGACTCGTCTCTCACCATTTTATCAGGACGACTAAACCTGACAGGACGGCAAGCCAGGGTCTCCTGGGCAGGCACTCGTCCCCGCAACCGCGGGCCTCACCAATGTGGCTCTGCTCCAGGGGTATTGGGAGGATAAACATTTCTTCGTGTCCAAAGGATCTTTCCCTTATATTGAGTATAATTATGTTTTTTTAAAAAAATGTCTTTATTAATTTCAGAGAGAGGAAGAGAGAGGAGGAGAGAGAGAGAGAAACATCAATGATGAGAGTCACGGATCGGCTGCCTCCTGCACGCCCCTCACCGGGGATGGAGCCCGCAGCCCAGGCATGGGCCCTGACTGGGAATCAAAACCTCCGTCTCCTGGGTCCTAGGTCGATGCCCAACTGCTGAGCCACTCTGGCCGGGCTAATTATGTATTTTTATAATTTCTATAATTATTCATTATGCATGTGAGTAAAAATTCTGACTCCTGAAAATATTCTTAATTATGAAAATGAAATACACCATCGGCGATAATAGTAAGTTTGGGCATAAAAACGTTAGCATTGACAAGGCCGAGTCTGCATCTGTGAGCTGACCCACCAGCCATCTCCGGGCGACCTCTCCTGGACCCATAGCCCACATGGCGTCATGAGAAAGCTGCAGCTGTGCCGGAGGAAGGCCTGGGGTCAGCCACAGCCCGCCGCCCCCAGACCTCTGGGCTTGGACGAGGCACACTGCGCCTTGAGCTTTAGTTTTCTAACGTGCAGAGCAGAGGTGGGACCCCTCCGATGGCCAGTGTGGACTGGGGACAGGGCGCGGGTGCCTCAGCGCACAGCCCGCTCTCAGACGTGCTCAGACGGGCCCGTGAGCGAGAGCGCGCTGGCCTCCTACACACGCGGAGGGAACGTGCCACCTGAAGAGCAAGGATGTGGAAGGCTGGTGCTTTGTCTGCATTTATTTTCGGTTCTTATTCAGATATTTGGCATTATCTGTTAAGAAGATAATGTTTTGTCTGTACACATTTCATAACTGAAAGGTGGAAGGAGGCAAGCCTATTCATTATGTCTCCCTGCAGAAATAATAATATGAATATTTAAATATTAGTGGCTTGTTTTTGTTGAGCACCTACTATGCCAAGCCCTGTACATCCTTATATCACTCATCCCTACAAACCCTCAATGAGAATTATAAATGCATTTCCACGTGTATATGTTCAGATGGGCTGCCGTTACCTTGTGCTACAGATTAGAAATCTGAGACTCGGAGGTGCTTTGCCTAAAAGCACACAGCTGGGACCAGAATCTGCCCCCAGGGGAGCTGGCTCCAGAGCTTGTGTTTTAAACACCAGGCACACTGCCTCCCCAGTCAATCGTCTCAACTCTACCAGGAACCCGACAGTGAAGAGAGAGGGGCATGCGACAGCGGGCGAGGGCGCTGGGGAAAGCCAGGGAGGAAACGGAAGGACCCGGCGGAGGTGACAGAACGCGTCTGCTCAGAGCACACACCAGGACTGGGAAAGACAGGCTTCGTTTTCTGTGTTTTCCTTCTTTGTCTTCCTCTCTTATTATTTTAAGAGTTATATATTAACTATTCTTAAAAGGTTGGAAAATACTCGGCATTATGACCCAGTGTGTGTCAAATGAAAGTCCAGTGTCGTCATCTTCTGCAGGCTGGGATTTGGCCGACACGCCTGCGTGACCAGGCTGTCACTCCTTTCCTTCGGGAGCACCCCTCAGAGGCCTCATTCCACACCTGGCCTGTCACCCGCTGCCCCTGGGCCCCAGGGCTGCGCCCCTCCCAGTGCCTCTCCCGAATCAGACCGCGTGACAGAGAGAGAGTGGTAATGGGGATGTGTACCTAACACTATGTCCTATCGCCTACGGCTTCTTCACCAAGTGCAAACGGGAAGTTCAGGCTCCTCTGGGAAACTGGACATTACTTCCAGGTCATAGAGTGAATCTGAGAAGAGCGTCAGCCATGCTAATTTGGTTTCATGAATAACTAATTCCCTGGAAAAATGAAAGAGTTCTTTTTTCTTTTATATTATCACTTCATTTCCAAGCCTTCCAGAACTGACCAGGCAGCAGGGACCAGGTCTGAGCTCTCCTGGAACCTGCACTGAAGCTAGTCTGGGCCATGCGTCCACATGTGCATGGTGTCAGCTTCCTGCCGGTGACACTAAATTTGTCTCACGGCCTCGTGTTCATGTGCAAGTCATTGACAAGTTCTCTTGGAAAATGTCAGAGTATGTGACAGAACCAAAACAATCTCCTCCTTAAATTCCATGACTATATCTATTAAAATATATGAGAAAGAGAAAACTGGCACGGATCTTGCCTCTTGCATGGGGGGAGGGCTCTTCCTAACCCAGGAAATGCAGTCTGGGGACCCGGAGGCAGTGACTGAGGTGCGAGAGGATGGCAGACCATGAGCAAAGGTTTAGAGATGAGACATTTTGACGGAAATTGGAAAGCAGCCTGTG